CACAAAGAGCAGATAGGGATGGGCAACTTGAACATTGGCTACTCAAAATTGGGGGAGGGATACAAAGGTAACAAGTGACTGGCTTAGTAAGCTTTCAAGAGGGAACCTAGATCGACAGGGCGGGGAGGATGGTAGAGTCTTCAGTGAGTAGTACCCAACCTGTCTAGGAAAGGCTGATGAAAAGAAATGCAGATGGGTCTCTTGTGATGCAAGGGTGAATAATTGTTATCAGGACTGATTGTGAGGACTGGAAATGTAAAGGTGGATATTTTATAGCAAGGAGGGGAATGATTAACCTTTCATTCTAGGAGCGGAAAACCCTGGGACAATCACTGGAGAAGAGCGGAGATCGAGACCCCACCCAGAGAAGCAGTGAGGCCTGAGATGAAGACAGAGAGGATGACATGATGACATGAAGAGATGGAGTGGCTGAGGACTTGAGATCCAGAGAGGGAAAGGGGCTGTGTGCTGAGGACTGGGGTGGGGGTGGGGGGATTGTAAGGTATACCCTTTGGTTGGGTGATGATGCATGGACGGGATGGTAACTATGGCAATGAAACGATGTATGATAGAATGAATACAAAACTAATGTTTTGGACATTGTTTCGTTCTGCTGTGCATGGGGTCACTATGAGTCAGTTCCGACTTGATGGCACCTGACGACAACAACAACATGTACTTTGGACATATTACAGGAGAAGCACATAATACTCGGTAAGTAGAAGGTCAGTGAAAAAGAGAAAGACCCTCAGGAGATGGACTAACCCAGAGGCTGCATAAATGGACTCAAACATAGCAATGATTATGAGGATGGCACAGGGCCAGGCAATGTGTTGTCCTATTGTACAGAGGGTCACTAGGAGTTGGAAAAACTCCATGGCACCTAACAACACCGCTTATATATGATTAAGGTTAACTATACTGTCAAATGGTCCTCTTATCCTCTTAAAATGAAGAAATCACTTCTAACAATAAGGATCAAAAGGTGCAGACCTCAAATGTTCAAAGATTTTATTGTTTTGTTACTATTATCGCTTTGGGTTTTGACTATTGTCTTCCCTCCAAATAGCCCAAAATGTTTCAAGATCTGAGATTCCACTGTCCCTTTTAATATCTCTGAGATAAGGCTGCTTTTAGAAATGAGAAAATTTCAGAATGGGAAAAAGTATTTAATCAAAGTCAGACCAATAGTATCAAAGCTGAAACAATTAGTGACTTCCTGAACCGACACTTGCTCACTCTTCACCCAGCACTGGAAAAACGCTACCTTGGGTTCAGGAATGTTCAATATACACAGTGCTAATTGTTAGTCATTTTTCCCATCAAGAAAAAGACTTCTAAAGCTGACTAGAACTTTGTCATAAAAACTGGTAGTTTTAACAATCTTGCAAAAGGAACTGAGTCATTCTTGGAGAGAGAAGAGGTTTTCAATAAATACTTATTAAATGCATCATTTCTGTAGTCTTTAAAAACTAAGATTTCTGAGGAAGATGGAAAATAGGTGTATGAGTAGGTATGTGTGAGTGTTGTCAGATAACCAGGCTGTACCACAGTCAATGTGGAAGCAGCAGCTAGAAGTTCGACACATTCTAGATTCCTGAGAGTTAGTGGTAGGACTGGAGCTGAGAAATAATCATAGCAGGCATCAAATCATGGAACAACTGCCTTCTAATTTCCATTTTAATCCACTGGAGGAGGGAAATGGCCCATTTCCTTCCTACAAAGCCAGAAGGTAATCAAGATCATGACCCGGAGGTTTTAATACACAGAGAATGGCCACGTGTCTGTGGTGAGAGGAAAGAAGCCTGCATGGGAGAGGAGGGCTCAGTTTTACTGACCTGCTGCAGGTGAGAACAGCAGCAGGAAAGCAGCAGTCTTTCTATGTTGAAGGAAGGACTGTAGTTCTTAGGAGCCATAGAATAGTACCAACTCATAGTGATCCTATGCACAACAGAACGAAAATTGCCCAGTCCTGTGCCATTCTCACAATCATTGCTACATGTGGGCCCCTCACTGTCGACACTGCCAATCCATCTCGCTGGGTGTCTTCCTCTTTTTCTCTGACCTTCCACTTTACCAAACATGCTATCCTTCTCCAGGGACCAGACCCTCCTGACAATATGTCTGAAGTATGAGAGACCAAGTGCAGCCATCCTGGCCTCCAGGAAGCATTCTGACTCTACTTCTTCCAACACAGATCTGTTTGTTCTTCTGGCAGTCCATGGTACTTTTAATTTTCTCCTCCAATACCATAGTTCAAATGCATCAATTCTTCTATGATCTTCCTTATTTACTGTCCAGCTTTCACATGGTTATTGAAAGTACCATGCTTGGGTTGGTGCACCTGAGTCTCAAACATCTTTGCTCTTCAACACATTACAAAGTTTTCTGCAGCAGATTTGCCCAATGCAATATGTTGTTTGATTTCTTGACTGCTGCTTCCATTAGTGTTGGTGGTTGATTCAAACAAAATAAAGTCTTTGACAACTTTAATCTTTTCTCCATTTATATGGATGTTATATAGTGGCCCAGTGGTGAGGATTTTTGTTTTATGTTGAGGTGCAAGCCATACTGAAGGCTGTGGTCTTTGCTCTTTATCAGTAAACAGTTTAAGTCCTCGTTGCTTTCAGCAAGCAAGGTCGTATCATCTGCATATCACAGGTTGTTAATGAGTCTTCCTCCAATCCTGCTGCCACGTTTCTATTCATACAATCCAGCTCCTTGGATTATTTGCTCAGCATAGAGATTCAATAAGCACAATGAAAGAATACAACCCTGCTGCACACCTTTCCTAATTTTAAACTATTCAGTGTTCCTTGTTCTGTTCGAACAACCACCTCTTGGTCTATGTACAAGGTTCCACATGAGCACAATTAAGTGTTCCGGAATACTAATTCTCTGCAATGTTGTCCATAGCCTGTCATGATCCACACAATCGAAAGCCTTTGCGTAGTCAATAAAGCACAGGTAAACAACTTTCTGATATTCTCTGCTTTCAGTCAAGATCCATCTGATGTCAGCAATGAATTCCTAGTTCCACATCCTCTTCTGAAACCAGCTTAAACCTCTGGAAGTTCTCTGTCAATGTATGATTGAAGTCTTTTAAAAGTTATTTTAAAGGATATTTTTGCTTGTATAGTCTATTAATGATATTGTCCAATGATTTCATTGACTCACCTCTCTTTGGAATGGGCACAAAGATGGACCTCTTCCAGTCTTGGAAGAATGGGCACAAAGATAGACGTCTTCCAAAATTTCTTGGCATAGATGAGTGAGTGCCTCCTGTGCTGAATCAGTTTGTTGAAAGATTTCAATTTGTATTCTATCAATTCCCAGAGCCTTGTTCTTTGCCAATGCCTTCAACGCACCTTGGACTTCTTCCTTCAGAACCATTGGCTATTGATCTACTATTCCTCAAATGGCAGAATATCGACTGTCTCTTTCTGGTACAGTGACTCAGTGTATTCTTTCCATCACTTTTGATGCTTTCTGCATCATTCAATATTTGGCTCATAGAATCCTTCAATATTGCAATTGAGGCTTGAATTTTTAATTCAGTTCCCTCAGTTTGAGAAATGCTGTGTGTCCTTCCCTTTTTGTTTTCTAACTCTAGGTCTTTTCAAATTCCGTTACGTTTGACTTTGTCTTCTTGAGCTGCCTTTTGAAACCTTCTATTCAACTCTTTTACCTCCGTATTTCTTCCATCTCTACACTGGTGAAGAAAGGATGGTCGACTAAAAATAAATGGAAGCCTCTCCAGGATATGTTTAGGAATGTACATTATGGGATTTACCAGTCCCATAAATTTGCTTCAATCCTGACAATGCTTAGTATATTAACCTCCACCAAAGATGCAAAGCCACCAAAAATACAAAGCTTTCTATTCAGCTTTGAAGATCATTCACTAAATGAACAATCTGAAAACCTTTGAAGGCTTCTGGAAATTACTCAATACTCCTTTGTTGTTGTTAAGTGCCATTGAGTCATTTCCGACCCATAGTGACCCTGTGTAGGGTTTCCAAGGACCAGCTAGTAAGCTTGAACCACCAACCTTGCATTTCAAACTGACTTCGCACTCTGGCACATTAACCTACAGCGCCAACCAGGACTCCTACACAGGGGTATTTACAAAGGTAACCTTTACTCTGTCAATAAAGAGACAGCTGTGGGAAGGAAATCAAACTAAAATGAAGGAAATTCTGGCCTGAAACTGGATTTCAAAATACCACCTAAAGAAATGAATATATCATTCTGCTTCCAGGGCAAAATAGTCACCAATAACTAGTTGTCCTAAATCTGATAAATCAATGTTATATACTCAACTGAATCTGGAAAACCAAGTACAAGAACTGGAGTTTCTTTGCTTGTTTGTTTTGTTTTAAATGGAAATTAGAACAGATTCTATACAGAATCTGATGCAAGGGGTTAAAAAACAGAACAAAACAAAAAACTTAATAGCCACTTGGAAGCTAGATTTGGTTTAAGGATTATTAGACAGACATTTTGCAATGCTTCAACTACTAACGCTTCACTAGAATTTGCAAACCAGTAGAATAAATAGCTAAAGAATGGTCAAATTTTTCACTCCTATTCCCGGTTTTCCTCCAAAACCTGGTTGATCTTCTGGGGACACCTAATTTAGGATCCTTAGCCCTCTCCCCTGATTCACAGCACCTTACTTTAAAAAGGATAAAATTTAGATTTTGAAAAGCTTTACTTAGTCTCCCTGTTCACCAGGAGTTTGATGCTGATCAAAGCCAACCACTCAGAAGGCAGCTCTGAATCCCAAGCGAACAGTAAGAATGAAATATAACAATGGACAGACAGAGACCCTCCTCTTACTGATGCTAGAGACAATATGTTCAAGCAAGGGTCCAACATCCAAAGATTTCTTCCTTCCACATTATAATTCCACTAGCAGTATGCTCTACGGAGCCCCTGTAAAACCACCAGCAGTCTTACATATCCCAACGTCAAATGTAACTACACAGAGTACTTACTTGTCTTGGAAAATGTCCTGGGCGGTTATTTGATCCTTTTTCTTGATGGCTTCAGCCAGAGGGAAAAGAGTCTTTACTTTAGAGAGAGGAACCTGGCACTTAGCTGTCACCTCAGTGGGGGGGTTCAACATATTCAAAACATGCTGCTGAATTGGGGGGAGAGGCTTCTGGGGATGTAAAGCTCTGTGCAGCAGACACTGTTGGAAAAAGTACAACATAGTTGTTTTTGTTAAGTGCCGTTGAGTTGGTTGATTCATAGCAACCCTGTATAGGGTTTTCAAGGAGAGGCTGATGAGTCAGAATCACCAACCTTGCAGGTTCAAAGCGACTTGCGTGCTTATCCTATGGTGCTACACAAGGACTAGATATCACATATGGCTTCATTTTACTTTTCCTGATCAAGGATTCTCCATCTTTACTGTGGGATGGCTATGTGCTTCATAAGGTACTTAACAGATAAAAAGGACTGACCCACAACCACCTTTGTTAACAGGACATTGCCAATGTCTAAAACTCACTGTAAAAACAAACCTGTCTAGCAGCAATATCTCCAGCAGATCTCCTAGAAAGGAGCTTCAGATTATTAAAAGAAGCTCTTGCTCTAACTACTTGGGGAACATACTATACATAACCTACAAGCTTTCCTAAAGCATGTAATTCGAAGAGCCTTCCACAATCTGGGACTATAGTTTTTTAGTTAAAATCCTTGGACCTCTCTTATGCATACTATTCTATCATGATTATTTAGAGCATCATTTCTATCTCTAAGGCCATATCTTCAAACTACTGACATTTCCTCTTTGCTTCCAACCTTTGCATTTCAATCATCAGTAAATATCAATATATCTTAATTGTATGGTTGGTCAATTTCAGACTGAAGAAGTTGGTTGTTGTTGTTGTTATGTGCCGTGGAGTCGGTTCCGACTCACAGTGACCCTGTACAGGGTTTCTGAGGCTGTAAATCTTTC